CGGTCATGAAAAAGAAGAAGGAAGAGAGATGCGTGTTAGTTCAAAATAAGTGATGTCTTGGCAATCTAAAAGTCCAATACAAGGTAGTTGCAATTTCTGATGAGATGATGACCTAAAGTTTTCCGAGATTGGTATTGTGTCCGAAGTTGTTTTGTTTCCGATGTAACAGAATGACATGGTTGTGGACAAGTACTCTTTTGTTTGTATGTTTGTTGTCTCTTTTTATAGTACAACCGACAAGATCAATATCAAAGACTATCTCAGGCTGTTGATCCCCAGTCCATGCGCCTTTTGTATTTGTCTTTTGTTCCTCCTTATGCTATATAAGGAGGGTCAACCTTAAACAAATGTAACAGTTGGAACTTCACTCTTATCAATCAAGAATTATTCAGTCAATCATTTCTCTAATATTCTTCTTGTTCTTATTCATTTTTTCAGACTTTATTTTATTTATCTTGAGCACTTTGTTGAATTATTATCTTCCGCGTAGTCCTTGTTCTTACATTTTGTATCAGTGCCTAAGTAGTTATCCTTTCAATCCATAAGATCATATTATAGTTGGTTGAAATCACCTTGGTTTTCTCAATAATGTATGCGTTAAGGATAAAAGTTCTTCTATATACCACTTCTACTCTAATATTCAAAAAACAATGGTTGCTTCTAATCAATAACAAAAAAATGTATTCAATGCAAATAGCAAATAGAGTGGGTTGCCCTTCAAGAGCCTCATTGCTATTTGTAAAAGAGTATGACCATTGAAAAGTTAGAATGGAAAGATTTTTTGGTTGGAAAAGAAAAAGGTGAATAAATATGGTGATCTATGAATGTAGGTCCTCATTTCTCGGTTAGGCAAATGGTTAGAGATGTTGCTGCTACTCTCATGGGTCATGACATGCTCAGACCTACACCTCTAACAGCCAATAACATCGAAAAACTACATGACGATCGAATACCATTTTATGAAATGGTGTTTAGTGTTCCACCACCTCTCTTTGAGCACATCTTGTTGTGCAAATCTTCAAAGGAGATATGTGACACACTTCACAAACTGTTTGAAGGTTCGAAAAACATGAATGACAAGCATCTGATGGCTGTGGTGAATGAAGTTGATACATTCACCACTACTCCTGGTGAATCTATTGCCTCTGGATCAATTCAGTATAGAATAGTGGTCAACAACATGAATACACATGGTGTTTTCCGAACTCTTCTTGAGTACAATCTTAAGTTCATCAACAGTCTCGAAAATAGATGTGGTAATGTCAAGTCTTGTATTCACAGTAATGGATCTCTAACGAAATTGATGTTGGGTTTTAGTTCAACAAATAGTTCCATAGACTAGAAAAATTATGGCAATGGAAGACGTTAATTTTGAAATAACATAAACATTTTATACCCACAAAGGATCTTCTTGCAAGTTATAGAAAGATTAAAACACCAACCAAAGAAGAAGTGAAGAAATAACAACCTTTGTAGTTCTTTGGGTCCTCTTAGGAGGCTTGGATGTTGATGAAGAATGTTGAACCTTTGAGACACCAACAGTGATTAAACTTGATGTAGATGCTAGTCCAAAAACTTTTAAACTCTTAAGCTTGAAGTTCATAACCAATATGAACTTCAAGAGAGCAAAAGATATGAAAGTAATCTTCAATAATTCAAAGCAAAGAAGAATTGGAGAGTCTCCCATGGAGCTCTTGGCGATTAGAAGAAAGAATGAGGCAAGAACTTAAAGAGTGGAAGCCTCATATTTATAGTGCCTAAAAGTGAAGTTATTATCCATTAGTTCCTTCAACTTTAGACAAACTTGTCTCCATGTCATAAGTGTGTTTCCCATGCCTTTAAAGCATGATTAAACAAGTCAAAACCCATACTTTTTCTTCTTTTTATGCAATCTCAAAAATTTTGTAAAAGAAAAGGAAAGTTAGTTTAAATTTTATAAATTCAAGGTTTATAAAATATAAACTTTGTCTTTTGAGTAAAAGACAAACGGTTTTCAACTAGTCCAAAATGTTGTACATGACTTAATAAATCATACCATATGATAGATTATGTTACTTGCTAATGAAAATTATTATTTCCATGAAATAAATAATTTCTAATTTAATTATTATAGTTTTATTGAATATTTGTTAAAATCGGTTTCTAATAAATAATCAATTGTATCAAGTTGTTGTTAGTGTGACCAATTAATATCATATGTTATTTAGCAATATCACTTTAATATCACTCTTGAGCATACTGGATCTTTCAATTGAATCTCTATCAGTTGTTTGACGAACTACAAGGTCATGAGTCCAATGTTACTCAAACCTTAAGAGAACTCTCAAGAGGCCCTCCTGATCTCATCAGTTCAATTAATCCACTTCTTTCGAACCCAGTTGTTTGGATCCATTTATATCTGTCCTACCTATGTCCACATGTTTAACATGTTCCACCAATTCCAAATTTCCCATTTGAAGAAAACCTTGATCTAGAAGCTACAGATGCCAAACTTCATTTCCAACAAGAGTTCACTCTGTTATCTATGAAGTACATGAGATAATGGAAAAAACAATAAAAAACCTCCTCCGAACAGATTTCAAGCTCTACACCAAAACATTCCTCAACCTTATCCTAAACCTATTGAATACCCACCATCTTATCGACCAAACCTTTTAGAGCAAACCTTAGAACCTTAAGAAATTCCGACCTCAGTCGAGTTGAGGATCATCTGTCATAGGTGTGTTCTCTTGAACCACTATGTAAAATACTATTTAGATGACATTCCGCAAAAACCAAATGTGAAGGACTTTGCTTATTATGCTCGTCGTGTACAAGAGCTAGCAGGGAGTGAAAAAACATTTGTCACTATAGTATCTCAAAATGTAGATGGGTATTGGTCATATAGTGATGAGAAAGATCTGGGAGAAAATTTTGTCTTACGGCTAGATACAAGAAAAAGAATGACCCACTAGAAGAAGCATCATCCAACAGGTAAAATCTGTGATTACTGAAAATAATTTTGATTTACTAATTATGAACCTTATCTAAATCAAATCAAATCATATATATTAGCTATTCTAAAAAGCCTATAATATGGTATATTGATAGTGCTTGTTCCATGCACATGAATGGTCAGAAATACTTTTTTTTGAGATCTCAAGTTAACTCCAAAAGATGGTTATGTTACCTATTGAAATAACACAAATTCTCAGATTCGAGGTTATCGCATCCTGACCAACGACAACTTCTCTGTCTCTAATGTGGCTTATATGGCTGATCTCAAGTACAATTTGATAAATGTATCACAACTCAATGATGCAAATTAAAGGGTTGAGTTTTGTAAGAAGCACAACTACGTGATGAAAGAAGATCAGAAAGAATGTCTCATCAAATCTGATCGAAATAAAAATGTGTATCCTCTGGGTATCAATATGATTGTTAGAAAGCCTCAGACATGATTTTTGACAAAAGTTTCCCTGATGTCAATTGGCTATGTCATCGGAGACTTGCTCATCTAAATTTTCGATATATGATTGATCTGGTTTCTAAAGACATGGTCTGAGCTTTACCACTCCTCAAGTTTGATAATGATCATCTCTGTGCTGCGTGTGAATGTGGGAAGCAGTCCAAGAAAGGTCATCCTATTCTGATCGAAAAATCTATATCTCAGCCACTTGAACTTATTCATATCGATATGTGTGGTACGTTTGTTTTTAAAAGTTTGCATCACAAGAAGTACATACTTGTGATTGTTGATGACTACACAAGATTCACTTGGGTTTTCTTTTTGAAATGTAAGTCAAAAATAGCTTTCGAGGTCATCATTTTTATCAAAGGGATTGAAGTTCTGGCAAAGCTACCCATCCGTAGAGTTCGTAGTGACAAGGAATATGAATTCACTAATGCCACTATTGAGAAGTTCCTAATTGACAAAGGCATTGAAGACAACTTTTATTCTCCCTATATTACACAGCAAAATGGTGTCATTGAAAGAAGAAACTGAACTCTCATTCGAGTTGCTCAATCGATGTTGAACTTTGCAAATCTACCTCTTTATCTTTGGGATCCACGACTTGCTTTTCTTAAAATCAGAGCATAATCAACCTACAAATCAACATGACACATTATGAAGTAATTAATGGTCAAAATCCTAGTATCTCATTCCTACACATCTTTGGATACATTCGTTTTCATCAAGAATAATCATGATCAACTCACCAAGTTTCAACCAAAGTCTAATGAAGATATGTTTTTGGGATACTCTGGTAAATTAAAAACCTATCGGGTTCTTAATCGTCATACCCATGTAATTAGAACTCAGAGCCAATTCATGTTACAACTCACATCCTAGAGTCTGATGCCCTACCTCTTGGGTCTCCGAATCCTCAAGTCATTATTAAGTTGGTTTTGAAAGTTTGTTCAGACCTATAGAAACCACTCTAGACTCCGAATCTCAATAAAGACCATCTTCAATGCCAAATCCTCCTGTTTCTCAAAACATATATGGTTTGACCCCAAATTTTCCTCCATTTGATTCTGATGTATTCCCGCCTCTGATTGATGGGGAGAATCCTATGCTTCCGTGCCTCAAGGGCAAGAAAGCAATCCAACCCTCGAATCAAATATTGATGGTTTTCAAGATGTAATAGATCAATTTTTCAAATTGATCCTATTTCGAACAACGACGATGATGCTAATTTCTTTGAGTTTCTTCAACAAAGACGATGCAAATATATCTTGTCCAGAAGTTCAGGAGGAACATCATCCTCAAATTAAAACTATTCAAGGGGAGTAACACAACCCCGTCGTTGAGGTCGGATCATCTGCTTCACAGGAACTTCTGAGATTACATATATGGAAAAAGGGTCATCCTCCAAATCAGGTTATTGGAAATCTGAACACCGAAGCTCAAACTCTCTCTGTCAGTAATATTCAAAACGAATGTAGCTTCTCGACATTCATATCAATGGTTGAACCCAAATCCATCAAAGAAGCTTTAAAATAGTCTGATTGGATAACTACCATGGAATAAGATTTAGCCAAGTTCGACCGAAATCAAGTATAGACTCTTGTTCCTCCGCCTCCTTAAGATCACCCAATTGTCGGAACTCGTTGGGCATTCTGAAACAATCTCGATAACGCATGAGTGATTATGAGTAACAAAGTAAGATTGGTGTCTAAAGGATTCAAACAAATTGAAGGTCTAGATTATGATGGGACCTTTGCATCTGTTGCCAGTCTTAAAGCCATTTGTATCTTTCTCACTTACATTATTCATAAGGCCTTTTAAGGTTTACTGGATGGATGTCATAAGTCCCTGCCTCAACGATGAACTCGATAGTGAAATATGTCTTCAATAGCATCCTGGATTTGTCAATTTAGCTTATCTGAAATAATGCTACAAACTCCAGAATGTTGTATATGTCCTTTAGCAAGCTCCTCACGCCTGATACTAGATTCTTATTTGTTTTTTTGAAGTGATCTAGTTTTCAGAGGGGGTTTCTTAATCCTACCCTATTCCGAAGATTAAATGGAAAACACCTCAATTTAGTTCAAATATATGTCGATGACAACATCTTTGGATCAACTGATCCAACGATGGTTGTTGGATTTTCCAAGTTAATGGTTAGCTGATTCCATATGAGCATGAACTATGAGTTAACTTCCTTTATCGGACTGCAAGTCAAACAAACAAATTAGGGAATCTTCATTCACCAAGAGAAATACATTTATGAGCTTCTGAAGAAGTATTCAATGGACACTTCTGCCTCTGAACCGGATACAAGAACTTTTCTGACCCATTTGGTTAAACCGTTGACTAGAAGAAGTATAGGTTAATGATCAGATCGTTGTTATACCTCACTAGAAGTCACCTTGGCATCATGTTCTCAACATGCCTATGTTCTAGATTCTAGGTTAATCTGAAAATGTCTCACCTCTTTGTTGTGAAAAAAAATTCTATATCTTAAAGGAACAAAGAGCCTAAGAATTTGCTACCCTGCAAAAGAAAGCTTTTGTTGCAAGCTATTTAGATTCAAGTTATGGTGGACTTTAACTTGATCAGAAGATCACATCAATCGGATGTCAATTTATGGGTTGAAGATTGGTTACTTGGTCGTCCAAGAAATAGAACTACGTAGCACTTTCAACAACCGAAGTGGAATACATTGTTGCTGCAAGCTGCACCTCTCATGTTTTGTGGATGAAATCTTAGTTGTTGGATTATGGTTTTCGAGTCCAGCAGATTCTGATCTACTATGATTTTCAAAGTGCTATCGCGATTTCTCATAATCCGATCCAACACACCATGAGCAAACACATCGAGATTCAGTACCATTTCATTAAAGATCTTGTTTTAAATGGTAACATTGAACTGATTTTTGTTCCATCACATGATGACATCGCAAATATCTTTACAAAGCCATTAGATGAGACCAAATTGTAAAGATTTCTAAACAAAATGGGAATGATGATGCCCGATCCTCAGTTTTTCCAAGAATCCTGCAATCTCTAATGGCAACATCGGAAAGTCAAATAATTCTGAGGTAAATCTATTTCTATCTGAAATAAATCCTCTTGAAAAGTAATGGATCTTTATATGTCTTTTTTGTCTAATCTTTCAGCTAGTTTTCAAGCTCTTTCAGTTTGTTACCAAGTCAAATTCATCCAAAATCAACATTGTAAGTGATGTTAAGAAACTATTTACTGATATACAAAATTTCACATTCTAACATCGATATGATAAATTTATCTCAGAATTCAAATCTGAAATGGTAATGTGATCTCGTTTCTCTCTACCTTTTCGAGCTCTAATCTTTTGATTCTCAGGACTTCTCATAACTCATTCAAATGTTAGACTATGATCTTTCATGTAACTTTTGTCACCAACACTAGTAGAAAAACAACTTTTTATGACGTGCAATGCGTGTCGTAAAACACTTAGACGACGCGCAAATGCGTGTCAAGGAAGGCCCTGTCATAATGAGAGACGACACGCTTTTGCACGTCGTCTATAGACGACGTACATTTACGACACACATTTATGACGCTCGTTTACGACACACAATGCATATCAAGGAAGGCCTTGTCATAAAGGAAGATGACACGCATTTGCGTGTCATAACCTTACGACACACATTTACGACTCGCATTGCGTATCATTAAAGCCCCTGTCAAGAAAGGTCATGTCATAAATGAAAATGACACACATTTTTGCGTATCATAATTTTAAATGTTTAAAAAAATATTATTTATAGATTTACTAATTTTCAAACTAAATTTGCATTTAATATCTCATGATGGAAAATAAAATATCATATACGAAAAATACAACCCATTGCATAAAATTTAATGTCTTACAAATAATCGTTGAATGGAAAGATAAAACAAATCAATACAGGTTGTAACATAGATTTTCAAACTAAATAGATACAAGAAATATGAAAAACTTGAAATCCTTGAGATTAATAGTTCTAACAAAAGCTTCACGTGAGATACATACAGTTGGATCAGTAAGCAAGGATGTTACCGAATCCACAATAGCAGCACAAGAACACGTACACGATATCTTCTGCTAGAAGGTGTCGATCCAAAACTACTGTTAAAGGTTGCAATGATAGCTATTAAGATTTAAGCATAACAAGAAACCAATCAATGACTATAAGAAGTTAGATAGTGACAAATCCAACTTCTCAAAATTATCAAAATGATAAATAAAAAAAGGCACCAAAGGTCTCCCTGTCTCAACACCCTTTGAAGTTAAAATTCATATGTGGGGGGAACCATTAATCACGATAGAAGCCATAGACGAAGTTAGATAGCGACAAATCCAGCTTCTCAAAATTATCACGAAAACCCATATAGGACTTTGTCTAAATAATCTCATCTTAAGGAATTGTAGCCCTTCTCAAAATCAACCTTAAAAACCAAAAGCTAATGATGATACTCCTTGACCCAACCTATAATCATCCCGTTTAGCATTTGGAGCATCCCTAGTTACAACAGTAAAAAAATGTACCTTACGAGAGCAATAACAAGACTTTCGTCATTTGGAACATCTAAATTGGTGGTTGGTTCATCAAGTGCAAGTATTCCACAATTAAGGCAAAAGGTTTCTACTAATGCTAATCTAATGATAAGTGAAACAAGCACCAGAGATCAATTGAAATTGGATTTGTGAAATTCCTTCAATCCAAAATACTATGGGAATGGACAATTAGAGATGATGGCACACCTTTTGACCTGCATTGCATCTTCCTCACATTTCAAGCTCAGCATCACCAGCTTGCATAACAACCTGAACTTACAATCAACCATAAACATTAGTATTGGATTAAAATGTGAGATTGCTGAGGTGAAGTGTTACCTCATTGTTATCCTCAATTATTTACTCATGTCAAGATCAAAGGAGCAAGTTGTCTCAAAGGAGTCAGCCGATTGAATGAGGCGTTGATTTGGTCGCCTAAGTTGTGGTGATACTCCATTTTATTGACTTTACCCTCTACTTCTTTTCACCCATCGATGTGGGATTACTTCCATATTTGTTTGTTGTTTATAGTACTGCTTCTTTACAAGTCAATTTACAAACATATTAAATATATTTTCATTGTCTCCTTTTTACACAACTCAAAAACATATTATATATACTTACTTATTTAGACTATTTATTTTTAACGTAACTACGTATTTTATATATGCACTTGATATGTGTAATATACATACAAACACACACACACACACACACATATATATATATATATATATATATATATATATATATATAATTTAGTCTTTTACACACAACACACACACACACACACTATATATATATATACATACATACATATATATATATATATATATATATATATATATATATATATATATATATATAGTAGACATTATGAGTGATCAAATATAAAATGAGAAGTGAGCTAAACCAATATAAAAGTGACCAATTTGATACCTTTATGGTATAGAGCCCAAGGTCTCATGTGGACATGAGTTTGATCCCATTCGCTATAAGCATTGAGTATAAAAGTAAGAAAATGTTTGTTTAAATAATCTTGTTCAAAGTGTTGAAACATATACATGATGAACCAAACCTATCAATTTTGTTTTTGTAATTAACTCTCTAATGAAGAAATCACCTCCCTGAAAGGTTGTATGCTACAGTTAGATGCACATTTTCCTCATCCTTACCACTGTCTAATTTGATTAGTATAAATGATAAACCCAATTAAAAGCAAACTTACATAACATATACTATTTAACCACGGGGTAAAACCGTTGGAACCATCTGCATACACTGGGACTGGCTCCCTTCCATATATTCAAGCACATGTTTTAGTGACTAATACAATCAAATAGTTTATCAAAGACGATGCATGAAAATAAGTAAGTTTAGCATTTTAACAAACAGTTTGCGTGCAAAAAAATTAAGCTTAAAAGAAATTTAATGTAAAATCACTTCTTTCCCTACTATGATAACAAGGGTACTTTAGACATTTACCAATTCATATTGACCATGTCCACACCAACAGCAGCACCACAAGATGGAATTGGGCATCTTAAAGTCAAACATCTAGGACCAGCATTGATAAAAAAAAAACATTAAAAGAAACAGAAATTAGGATACCAATTATAAACAGGTAAATGTATAATGAGATGAAAACAGAGAGCATTGTATTATTAATACAAACCTACTCAACATGTGTTATAGAAATGATGACAACAAGCAGCAGTGCTAACACTATCAAGTGTATATGATTCAAAGCAGATCCCACAAGGAAGCTTCAAAAGATACAAAAAAATCAAAGATAAGGATTAAAAACTCCACTAAACATTAACTTATTTACCATTTTACCCTAACTTACCTCTCCAGCTTTTGGTGGATTGATATTGGATGGAGGCAAGAGATAACAGATAGAAAATAATATATGTCGAAATTTTTTTGTCATAGAAGTTAACCAAAACAATATTAGAACAGAAAACAAAGAAATCGACACCAGGAAACAATGTCTTTGAACTAACTCATCATCGAATCATTAGCTAATAAAACCACCGAAGCCTTGTTATATGATGAACTTGGAATGATCGAAACAGATCTGTATTGTGTATAATAACATATCAAGTCAAATTTTGCCTACTTTTAAAAAATAATCCGCAATTAATGATTGAATACCTGAACCATTCCATCTTCCAAAATTTCCGCCACGTTGCTAAAAAACACATGAGTATACTCACGAAGTGTACAACACTCCAACCCATAACCCTAACATGTTAATAAGTCAAAGCTCTTCAGACTAGTAACAATAACTTAGTTATGGAGATAATGATATAGAGTTATTACAGAAATAGCAGCTTCAATAAAAAAAATGGTAAAACCGATTCCATTTTGTCTTTTCCTGCAATCAGTGCAACTATCCCCACCAATTCAGTAACCCTTGCTCGTGAACACAACTCCTCTTCATTTATACGCATCATGAAAGTTTTCATCAGTTCAAGAACCCTTTCAACATATGGGAGAAATGCTTTCTGGGTAGCAGATGCAACTGAACTAATCACAGACTGGAATAATTGAAAACAAGTTTGATAAGCTCATTCCCAGATATAATATAAGTAAATCATGATTTCATGCATCATTTCCAAACATGTTTCATGTAACTTTCTTGGATTTTTTTAGAGAGCAATAAGTAGTTTCCCCATCATAGGATTAGTAAAAGGGATGATTTCCTCACCCATGTTCTCACAAAATGCTACCAATGCACAATATGATTTCTCCGGCATGTGGTTGAGATTTGTTGAAAAATATTAGAAAAGAAATTTATGATCTTATGATCTTAATATACCTTCACATCATCAGATGCATCTAGTAAGGACCTAAATATATGACGGAAGAACTAATTATTTAACCTCTGTGATAGGGGTGTCAACAACTCTCTCAGGCCCATACTTGAGTAACAATCCTTTTGTAATCTATCTAATCATAAACAAATCTAATATTATGAGATCAAAACACACACAAACTTGATAGATCAAGTGCAATGCTTTTGGAATTCTAACCTTTTATGCAACCTGGTATTCTCCAACCTGCACATCACAAAGAAGATGAGGCTTAGAGCGAAAGACTCTCTGGATATACAATGATAAACACAATACTAGCTAGTTACCTCTTCACCCATGATAAATACACTAGAATCAACAGCCATTTCCTCATCAATAACATAGTTCAATGATCTCTTATTTTCATCTGCAAAAATATGAAGTTGAATGTATATATAGTAGTTTCTCTAAAACCTAATTTCAACAATATGCAAAAGGTCTACTAGTGTTTAAATCCCATTTTGGTTCAATATTATTGATATGTAAAATTAGAAGAATCCATATTACATCTAGTATCGTTCCAATTTGGGAAAGCTTGTGAAGGGTCTTCTTGAAAGATAATATTGCAAGGTACAGGGAAAAAGAATAATATTACAATTACTAATGACAAGGGGAGACCTTCAAAGGATGAGATTAAGAGGAGATAAGGAGCACAAGAAGAAGTTGGAGGTGAAGAATGCTTTGGAGATTTATACGTATAACATGAGGAACACAGTGAAATATGAGAAGCTTGGTGAAAAGTTGACTCCGGTTGATAAGAAGATTCAGGATGCGATTGATGAGGTGATTATGTGGTTAGATATGAACTAGTTGGCTGAGGGGGATGAGTTTAAGGATAAGATGAAGGAGCTTTTCCCATTTTGAAACTTTTAGGTTAGAGAGAGATGGAGGAAGATATATATATATATATATATATATATATATATATATATATAGAGAGAGAGAGAGAGAGAGGGGAGAGAGAGAGAGAGATAGAAAGAGAGAGATAGAGAGAGGATATTGAATGAAGAAATGTTGAAGGCGCTGGAGGTGGGTTAAGGTGGTGGCCCTAGGGCTTCTTGTTGCTAATTCAAAGATGAACATCAATGGCAGAAGGTGGAGCCATCAGTAGAGAGAACAAGGTAAAAAGAGAGGAGATCGAACCATTTAGTGTGAGGGTCGATTTGGCAGAAATCTCAAACCCTTAACCTTAAACATGATGTGAAGCGATTGATCCATAATCTTCTTCATCTCCGTCAATTCCTTGGCTCACATAATCGGATGATGGTGGTACATGAAGTATTCTTAGAGAAAGAAGGTGCATCACCGCAGTTTGAGGCTAGAAGAGGCAACGAGGATTGGAGGCAATGGATGTAGGTGAGGGGTGGAGACGAGGGAGAAGAAATTGTGGGTTTAAAAAATTTGGGGATTTCATTTTCCCTCGGAGATGCACGTTTCTTCAAAAAAATATAAAACAACATTTACAGAGGACACACAAGTGCCTTCCGTGTTTTTAATTTTTTTTACATGAGACACTAATTTAAGGGCATGCAATAATGCATGTCCTAAATCCTTAAATTTTTTGAAGAGATGACATTTTTTTTAATGTCACTCTCTTTTGTGTAACATAAATCAATGAGTGTTGTGGTTTGCGCGTCGTAAAAGGGTCTTTTTCTTGTAGTGAGATATCCATCCAAGATTATGTGCCTCATCTCGAATTAATATTAAAGATTAGTGAATGATTTCTACTTCTCAAAAGCATCTTATATCTATCGTCTTTCGTAATTTCATTATTCCGACTTCGTAAATGAATAAATTCCCTTTAAAATTTTCAATTATTTATGTTTAATGAAAAGTTAAAAAAAATTCCTCCAACGGATAAATGATTATTTTTTAATTCTAATAAACAATGTTTGGCATGATTTTCAATAAATGACCGAGTGTTTTTTGATATGAATCGATAGTTATTGCTTTTTGAAGAAAAAAAAAACTCCTATCCTTTTGGTCTAACTGTTAGTTTAAGGGATATTGAGTACCCGGCATTTAATGCAACCCATTTTGGCTTTGGGTTTCATTATTGATTGTCCGACCCAACCCAAAACAAAATCTAATCATAAAAGGATTTTGAATCCAAACCATTCCCTCTTCACGCTTTTATCTTTTTATTGGCTGAGAACCTTTCTCCATATTCTGTGTTCTTTTTGCTCTTCATTGATCCTCAAGCATTCAACAATGGCATCCAAGATTGCTACGTCTTATTCAAAGAAGAGATCCACAAAAGCATCTACGTCGTATTCTTCCACTGAACCCATTCTGAAGGACACAACACAACTTTTTTCTCTTGATCCTAATAATTATGACTACTATGTTTGTGTCATGGTTGAGTTTATCTCCTGCGATCCCATAGCAGTTCCTTTAAGAAAAGTTCCAAACCCAAACTTCCCACCCCATTTTCCTCACGAAGCCTTTGAGCGAATCAAGATAAAAAAAATGACACTCTTAAATGCATGCTCAATGAGGACAAGATCGTTTCTGTGGCTAAAAAGGCCTTTCTGTCACACCCCCAAATCAGGATGGCGGAAACGTCCGGGGGTGGATGACTTTCATGTATTGTATCATAACATTTGATTAATAGTAAAGAAAGAAAACATGACCATCATATATATAATTGAAAAAGTTACATCATTGTAAGTGTTACATGCTTCAAAATTAAGTTACAATATAATGATAAAAAGACTTGCCTGACGCCTTAGCGCCCCATCCTCAAAAGCTGGTGTTTACATGTTTTACTAATTTCATAATAATACAAGTTGTTTGAAAAAGTGTCAACATTTAAGTTGGTGAGTTCATAAGAATTAGTTATGAAAAATAGTAAGCCTTTACGTGAAAAGATATTGTGTTTGTTTCCAGAAAATCCGATATTTTATAATAAATGAAATGTAATTCGTGCACATGTAAAATAAGGGTTTTTGTTCCAGAAAATCCAATATTTTCTAAAGAATGAGATGTAAGTCGTTTACTTGTGAAATGAAAATGTTTATTCCAGAGAATCCGATATGTTCTAATGAATGAGATATAAGCTATAAAAGTTCCAAACCCGAAATGGACCAATGTTTTCCATACATTAAAGTAGTACTATGTAGTTTTATTCATATATAAAACTGGTTGAAGACGTGTGTTTCTGTGAAAAATAAACGTATCATCGTTTCATTTTGTGAGTTTTTATAACCGTGCTAACCAATACTTGTCTACCTCGACATTCTTCAGGCGTTAGGATATTTATGACATTTTTCACCCATAACTTGTCGGTCTGGCTGTAGCTAACAACCAGGGTGTGTGATCATTAGTCCCGTGTAGATCTATACAAAAGTATCACACTCTCGTATCGGAGATTCCGACTATAAATACTGGACTTTATTATATACCTCAGTTAGGTACGGTGAAGACTGTGTCTCACAATTTCCATTCAACGAGTGTACATGTTTTGAAATGAAAAGGTTTGTAAATGACATTATCTTATATTTCCATGATAACATCGAAAATGTTGTAAAATAATTATATATGCACTTTATAAAATTTTACCCTATGCTCAATGGATTACATAGGGGTAAAGTTTCGTAAACTATATTTGTAAAGTTTTGATGCAATGAATGTTTTGTAACCGATATATATATATATATATATATATATATATATATATATATATATATATATATATATATATATATATATATATATAAGGAATAATGTAATGTATTTTGTAACTGTTTTTCATGTTTTTACGTTTTTATCAAAACGTTGTGTGTACAAATATATAGGTTGGTAGTAAAACCGTTTCGCTTATTTAGCACTTTACGTAAAAATAGTAAAATAATGTATTTAAATGTTTGCGTTATAACAAGAATACTGTTGTGTGTTACTTGTATCCCCCGTCCCCGAAAACATAGAAAAAGTCTTGAAAAATATAGGGGTATGAATTCACCTTATATGTAGTTGCGGTTCGATAACGAGACAACAACGGTGAACTTCGAGTTAGAATACGGGAAGGATGTCGTAATCCTAATGGTTTTAAACACATAATAATGTGTGATTTAGATGATACTAACCATGAAATGTTTGCAAAAACACTAGAGTTATATAAGACTTACAATAATG